TGTAATTTAATAGTGTTAAGGGTGAAGAACGCGTGGGCCTAAGTTATGTAAAATCGGGAACTTCCTGCAGACAGCAGGGTGCAGAAATTGGGGATGACAAAAACAATATACGAACACAAAGATTATGTTGCTAGCTATATTTTTTATTAGCAAGTGATGAAATATACTTTTCCAAATTGGGGAAACCAATAGGATTATGTTGCTAATATATTTTATATACAATAATAACTTTCTATTTTCTATTAGTTTTGGAATATAACACATAAATACCATATTAATTATTTTCATTATTTAATAATTAATATGTAAGAAATGTAACTTAACTGAGAAATTATTGGGTAATCTAGATATAAAATAATGAGTGATTTCTGAAAAAAGAATATGGACTAACAAAGACTACTACATGAAATGTTTAATGTTTAAGAAGGGATATGAAAAAAATTGATATATTGCAACAAAAAATCTGAAGGCAAGTATTCCACTGAAAATTCCAACGGATATTTCATTGATGTAACTTTCATTGAAAAATTTCATTGGCTATTCCAACAAATATCAAATTAAATTACATTGGAACTTTAATAGATGTAAATTTTTTTTATTTTGTTTGAATTTTTTAGTTTGTTTTGGTTAATTTTGAAAAATGTGATATGATTAGTTGTTAGTGAGTATTTAAAATAAGGTTTAAAATAAAATAATTAAAGTTTATTTAATATAAAAGTAGAAGAAAAATTATTTGAAATGATGGTTAGTTAAAATTATGTGAGTGGATGAATAGTGAATTAAAGTTGATGTGATGTGCAAGAATAATTGATTGATATTATATAATTATATTGATAATATTAATAATAGAAGAGTTGAGTTAAAAATGTTGATTTTCTTGAGAATTTTTGTTTCCAAGCATCCTCTTAATGATTTCAATTACCATTATTTATTGTTGTGTGAATTTTCGTTGATTTTTTTTGGACTGTATTTCAACTGTTGACAAAACTGTCACTGGGATTGTAAAAAAAATCAGTGTAATAAGTTCCATTGAAAAACTAATTGCAGTGGCATATCCAAAATAGTTTCATATTGGGGTCATTTTTAGTTAATAGAAAAAGTATACTATTAAAATAACATAATGTCATTACAACTTTATAAATTATAATTTTCATCATTTCTTATATTTCTCATTTGTAGTATATTTTTAAGTTTTAACATAACAATACAGTCAAAATAAGTTACAAAATATTTAAGAAAAATAGCATAATTTTTTTTTTTCAATTCAACATTAAATCATTGAAAATAATATAATTTTTAAAATTTTTATGAACAAAAAATTTATATTGTAGTATAGTTGACTCAACTCGACTTTATAATTGATGAATTTATAAATTATGAACATATAATTATAATTCTACGTACACTAGTTAAAAAAGATATAAAAAAATATATTTTGAAGTTAGAGAAAACATTATGTTGCAAAAAAAGAGATTAGAGTTATCATCAAGATTAAAAATAGAATTAGAGGGTAAAATTATAATTTGAGATTTTATCATGTTTTCTTTATTTGTGATACCGCGTTTATGTTATAACTTTCATAAAATTATGAGTTGAATTAAATTATAATTGGTTGAGTTGTAAAGTAATTCATTATGTAATACGAGAGATAATTAAAATTATGAAAAATATTCCCACAATTGTTGTTAGATACTTTATCCTAGATGTTTCAGGATGAGGGCCTTTGTCAGCCTATAAACATGGATCTGCCCATGATTCCAACAAAATATTTTTGTCAGAAACTTTTCATTAAAAAAATCAAAATATGTTCGTTAGATTGTTTTTGAAACTCCACTAAATATATTTTCGTTGAAATCTCATCATTTTTCTTGTAGTAAAAGTAGGGCTCTAAATCAATAAAAAGGTTTACATTATGTATAATATTACGTGCAACTAATTATTATGAAAATTGTTGGTAATAATAGAAAATATAACACATTTAATGTAATTTTCATTTAATTTTATAATTAGTAATTTTTTCAAAACAAACAAGATACATCTAGGTTGAAAAGTCTTTAAGTATTTTATTAGTATTATAGTAATTAAACAATGTGTAAGATTGATGTTCTTGTTCAATATAATAAAAATGTAAGACTAGGCAATGAGAAAACATATAGCTCGCACCATAAGTCAAAAAAGTGATACAATATATTAATGTCTTATATCAGTTGGAGCTGGCTAATGGAAAATATAAACATATTCAAGATGAATATTTATTTTAACTAGAACTTTTAAGTACATAAAAAATATATATTTTTGGCATTAAAAATTAGTATATTGGTCTTAATATTTTAAGTTACAAATTTAGTTACTGTCTACCATTATAATTTTAAATGTTTAAATGCTTAATATTTATTTATTTGTTACCCTTTTTATACGTAATATATCACATTATTTCTTTCAAATGATGTTTAACTTGACCAATGTGTTGTAAATAAAATAAAAAAAATATACTTATTTTTATCGATATAAAATAATATATATATATATATATCAATACTAATTTAGAATATTAAATGGACCTAAAGTATCTTATAAAATAAATTACAAACCCATGTTAAACAATTATATTAAGTATGAAAAAGACATAGGATAAACTTGTGTTATATTTTGCTTACATAGATTTGAAATATTCATACAAATAAGAAAAACGTACAAAATGGATGTAAGCTTACAACTATTATCAACATTAACCATGCGAATTACAAGGAGAAATAAATGAGTTGTATTTTAAACAATTACTCAGTTACTGCATGTAATGAACACCATAATGGTTGTAACATATAACATATATTTTCATTGAATACGAAAATGAGTTAATAACTGAATATTTTATCGAAAAATAGAAAAAATCCTAAACTTTTTAATCTTATAACCAATATAAAAGTACATTTTTGTCAAATATCTTAATCTTATAAATAAATATATAAGTAATATTAAATAGTATTTATAATATTTGATTATATTAGTTGTAACCTTATAAATAAGACATTTTCATTAGAACGTCATTATATAAAGTACGTACAAAAAAAAATAAAAATGATGCAATACATATAAATGTGCTCTAATACTTTTAACGAATAAATATTATTTGTGAATAGAATAAGAAACAAGTAAAACAATAGTAATTCAATAGAAAAAGAAAAAGTTTGAATTTTCTTAGACAAATATGAATAATAATATCTGGAATGTCCAAGAAATTAAAGGATCATTATCTGAATATTCGAAATATTATGTATGATGCAAAAAAATTAGACAATAAAAACATTACAGTAGTTATTAAGCACATAAGTACTACAAATTCGAACGAATGTGAAAGATATTATGATAAACAACGCTAAAATCAATGCAACAATCAAGATGATCAATGATTTGCAAACAATAGATTATATAGTTCGTTTGTCTTTCAAATATTGAAAAAAAAAATGTTGAAGCCTGATCAAAACATTCTTGAATGTTTAATGAAATTGTCCCTTTTTTTATAGGAATATTTTCAATCTCATTATGTATTTTGATCGAACATATGTGCAATTACTTTATATAGTACGTACTTTCATTTAATGTGATGATTTCAAAATGTAATTTAGCGTATCGGGAGTACATGTAATGAAAATTTTGAAAAGTCAAATTTTATTTGGAGATGAAATTCATTCTCATTCTGTGTGACAATGCCTCAATGGAGTAGGTACCAATTTGTCAATATGGACATAGTAATGAAGTAGTTTATATAATGATAAAAAAATATCAACAATTTAATGATACGGTTGGTTATTTTATAAAGATATTTATGAACTGTTAGTAGAATACCTTATAAAGATAATACAATCATTAAGTTTGACTATATGTTTGGCCAGAATATATATAAGTGTTTGAATAAAGTAGACGTTTTGCCAAATGAATTAAGAAGAATTTTGCAATACTATTGATGTACTAAGCTCCAACGAGTTTGAATGTTTCTTATGAAAACGTCAAGACCAAAATGAAAGAAACCACTCTTTAATCATCTAACATAATTAAATAAAATATCTAATGCATCTATAATATACATTGGGTCCTTATTTAGTTATTTTGTGTTTTTTTTTCATTAAGACTATACTTTTGTTGGAGTTATAATATATTATTTTATTTTTATTTTTTTATATTAGGACATCAGTAAAAAAAACATTAGAAGCTCATTATTCTATATTTCTCTTCGTTCCTGCAATGATATGTTTAATAAATTAGTTAATTTATTTTACTAAATTTGATCGACAAAAAACATTCGTCACCACGTGCGATGCACGTGCACTTTACTAGTGTAAATAAAAATGTGATAATTAATGGTATAAATCTGTAATTTTAATGAAAAAACATAATGGATACCTGTCTAATTTTTATAGGTGGTTTCACATTTATATGTGATAGTCATTTTTACTTTTTAGTGAAGTTCATCTGGCAATCGTAAGATATTTGTACAGTAGAAAAATTCATAACACGCATATGAGTGTGTTAATCAAACGGTATAGGATCGAATTTTTCTTTGTATAGACTGGAATCTCTAAATTCTCTTTAAGTTCTGCTGACATAGCCAGTTCTTTTTCAACACATAAGACTAACCCACACTGCCACTGGTAAGGTTAAAAGGTATCAAATCTTTGACATTGGGATCTTATCGTGAGACCTAAAAAATTTAATGTCATTCATAAGAGCCTCCTCAAATTGTTGAATCTCGTCAACTGCAAAATTCTTTTCCAAGCTGTCAACTGTTTCAAATTGAATGTTTTCAAACCAAATAAATAAAACAAAATTGACTCTCATATAAAATGAACCAATCATTGACACATTTATTATTGCTCTCTCCATTGTTGACTAAGACAAAGACCTATACNAAAATCAAAATTCAACCCAAAATGGCTATCTATAATTTCCCCTTAGTCCCCACACTATATACATGGCATATAAAGGTCAAAGCCGACCGCTTGCTACGGATTTCCGGCTACACTCAGAGAGAAAGTCAAAGCCTCATTCTGCAAAATGCCGGTCTCCCCTAAAGTCAACTGAGACATGCCCACGAGCTCCTTCATGGGTTCTTGCACAGCCGCCACATTCGTAAGAATCTGATGATGTTGAGATTTTCGTGCTTTGTTGTCTTTAACAGAAAGTTCAAGAGACGTGAAAGCCGGCTTTAGAGAAAGGTCAAGAGACGATATTGCCCCTTGAGACGAAGATGATGATGATGATGATGATGATGATGATGTCAGCATGAGTTTTTCGTTTTCATTGGCGGTAACAGCTGGTGGAAATGGGATGCTGAGCTGTCGTGTGTTTGACGATGGACTAGTTTCCTGATATTAGAGAAAAAAACATAAATAAGTCTTGACACGGTCATAAGTCGTGTTCGAACTCAAAATGCAAAAGAAATTAGGAAATTGTCTCGGTTTTTAGCTATTTACTACACACAAGGAAAAAAATGCAAAAGTAAAAGCAGAAGAGTATACAAACCATGTCAAAAAGGCTGGACCGTTTTCTTCTCCTAGTGGCATTATTAGTCTGCCTAATGAAGTGCTTTTGAGCATGGCTAGCCACCTGAGTTGGAGTCCTCGAACCAACATAATCTTTCGAAATTCCACGCCAATTACCTTTCCCTAACTGCTGCAGACCTATCAGGAATTGCCTGTGTTCTTCCTCTGTCCATGGTATTCCTGCTTATGAAAAAAACATTAAAAAAAAAAATCACACAGCACAATGTGGAAATAAGGGAAAGAATTTGACATGAAATTTTTTTTTCTTATTTGAAAGGCGAAAGGGTAATAAGTTAATAACAGAATCTAATTCATAGTTTTAAGACAAACACGTTCATTACACGTACGGCAACTTGCATACTTTATCGTTTTACAAGATGACGTGCGTAAAATGCTTACGATTACGTAGATTACGTGTCGATGAATTGTGATAGGTTGCTCGTTTAAAGGATTACATGCACTGAATAAAGATGGTTCTAATAGCTATAGCAGAGCAAAACTAGTTACTTCCAAACATAAGAAGAAAAGAAATAAGAAGACTGCAAATTCTTTGATCAAAGCTCAAACACATCTCACTAGAAGAATCACAAGCAAAGGTATATACATCAAACATTCAATCAACCAATCATCAAATGTATTCAACCATGTAACTAAATCAATCTCAAAGGTTCTCATCACCAAATCAACGAAAATTTAATTTAATTAAATAATATACAGGCAATACTATAGATAAGTTTACACCCCAAAACAATCAGGACAAAAATAAAGAAGAACCTCCCAGTCCCAAACAAAAAAAATCATGATCTTGTTCACTTAATAACAAGAAATTGAACTCAATTAATCAAAACATGCAACACACAAATAATGTTTCTCAAATTAAACCCTGTCAAAATTGGGTCACGCAATAGGACAATCTGAGGAAATTACCAGCTAATACGAACAAACAATGAATAAATAAATAAAAACCAGCAGCAGAAAAGAAAGGGAAAAGGATAGGACCTCTCTTCCTGATGGGCGGCAGCCGGAGAGCGGCGGTGCCGCCGCCGCGGTCGGGATCGTCGGAGTGGTACCCGCCGGCGGGCTCCGGCGCGGCGGAGGAATGGGAGAGGTTGCCCATGCTCGCGCTCTTCTTTATGAACGATCCATCCGTCAACCTCACGCCGAACAGCCTCAGCCCCCCGCCTCCACCGCCGCCGCCGCAGGTGGGCGTGTTGTGGTGGCCGTTGGGGTTGCAATGCGAGCGCCGCGTCATTTTTGGTTGTATTATAGAAATATTATAGATACATTAAGATGAATGCGTGTGTGTGTGTGAGGTTGCATGTGAAAAGAGAGTTTTTAGGGAAGAGTGAAAATTGGGGCTACATTTTATTATGGTAATATTTGGAAAAAAAAAAATAGGATAAGGATTAAGGAAATGTTTTTACGCGGTTTGTCTGTTTCTTTCACTCGCTTGTGCTTTAAAGGACTTTTTTACCCTTTGGATTACCTTAACTGAGAGAACAGTGAAGGTTCGATTTTATCTGTGGATAATAGTTTACGAGCTAATAGCCATTTAATCACACAATTACATGTACATCCATAAGTAAAATTATTATATAGATAAGATAACTAAAACACCTTAAGAACAGCTTTTTCATTCACTTTATTTTTTGTTGAAGAAAAAATTATAATAAAAGCGAAGAAAAATGATAAGAGATGGAGGACGACTAAAGAGAGGCTTTTTTATTTATTTATTTGTTTATTATCAATATTTATGATAGTAATATTAAATGTGTTTCTTTCTTTACGGTACAATCCATTTTTTCATAATTGGAATAGTTGGAGACGCGCTAATACATAAAGGATCTGGCCTGTTCCATTCCAAAATTAATTGGTAAAAGATGAAATAGTTCACTAAACTTATAAGTTAAGTTTATTTTTCCTATATAGAAGATGTTGGACAACTCACTTATTATTCTAACAATGATAAATAGTTCATACGATTTTTATGGTTGACTTATCATGTTATATACATTTTTAAAATTAATTGGTGAAAGATAAAATAGCTCACTAAGCTTATAAATTAGGTCTATTTTTCTTATATAGAAGATGTTGGACAACTCACTTGCTATTCTAACTATGATAGTCATACGATTTTTATGGATGACTTATCATGTTATATACATTTTTAAAGATTAATTGGTGAAAGATGAAATAGCTCACTAAACTTATAAGTTATGTCTGTTTTTCTTATATAGAAGATGTTGGACAAGTCACTTGCTATTCTAACAATGATAAATAGTTCATACAATTTTTATGGATGACTTATTCATATACATTTTTAAAGAGTTCTTACAATTTTGCCTACATTTATTTTTATTTAATATTTGAATTTTTTGAAATGCTTTATATTTTTATTTGTCCACCTAATAATAAAATAAGAAATTACTCCAATTTTNAAAAAATATTGGTGGTGGCTGTTTCTTGTAATATCCATATTTAAATTTCGAAATATTTATATTATTATCAATTCATTTAATAATAAAATAAAAATTTAGTTCAATTAAACAAAAAAAAATATCTTGTTGTTTGTTCAATTTACACGGTTTTCTGTTCAGCTGACACGTATGTTTCTTCAATTTAGTGTTCTCTATACGGTGTCTCCAATATTTTCTTATATTGTATCATCCATTACTCTTTAAATACTATTTTAACGTGTTAACATAAGTTTTACCATAATTTTATTTTATTTGACTCTTCTCGTTTTAGGTTTTCTCATTTTACATAACTTGTGCTTTTCAAACATAAAACATGTTATATATTTCTATTCAAATTTGGAATATCACGGAATATGGTTTGTGCAGTTAAAACTGAACAATATCATGGATACCCATGTCAAATTGAATATAAAACTAGAAATAGGTGGGACGGTGATTATAAAAAAAAAAAAATCATAATTTTTGTATGTTATTTGATTTTCTAACAAAATTTGCCTTTTGTATTAAGGGTCGGAGTTCAAATGTACATAGTACGTTTTAATCCCACGTTTCAAAACGTCCTCCTAAGTTAAGTTCCAATCATATTCTTTTTTTTATCCATATACAAAAAATACATAAATAAATTGTTTACATATTTAATATCACGTTTTATCAAGATTCTTGCAATATTCATTTTATGTTTCTCGAATTATTAGGATAAGGTTGTGTTTGTAAAAGAAATAATTTGAGTGAATTAATTCAAAGTAAGTTATTTTTTTAGTTAATTAAGATTATTTAAAAAAGTGGTATTCTTGGTGTTAGTGGAATTTTGAGTTTATATTAAAATAACATTTAAAATAAAATATTTAAAATTAATTTTATGTAAAAGTAGGAGAGAGATAATATGAAATGATTGTTAATTAAAATTATGTGAGTGGATGAATAGTTTATTAAAGTTGATATGATGTGTAAAAATGATTGGTTATTATTATTTAATGATTGATTGTTATCATTTAATTGTATTGATAATATTTAAGATGTTGGGGTTGAGTTAAAATTGAGTTAGATTTTGAGTATAAATTAATTTAGTTTGAGATTTTTTTTTTTACAAACATTGCCTTAAGAAGTTTTTTATGTTCCAAAACCATGCAACGAAGTAAAATAACCGAAAATGTGTTTTTATATTTCAAAAGTTGAAGGAAAAAAAGGGAATGGTACTTAAAGTTGTTTAAATTTGTACTTTTAACATAGATGAAAATTAGAAACTGGGCCAATGCTTTAGTTTTGTCACGTGGAAGCCCATATGGAAATGGTACACCAAATTTGGGCCAACACTATACATTAGTACCATGCATATCACCATCAGTTTAGTCTTGTTTTGTCAAAAATGAATTTGACCCGTGAATAATTATTAGATCAACATTTCTTTCTTTCAATATTTTATTTTATGTTTTGAGCTGACATCTTCAATAATTATATATTAAATTTCATTTCAAATATTTGAAGAGAAAAAGAAATAAAAGAAACAAAAATCGTATCTCGTAAAATGTCAGTTCACAATCAAACACGTAGAGTGACCAACATTAAACACGTAAAGAGAACAAAAAAAATAGGTGCAATTCACATCATTAAACATAACAAAAATAGGTATCACGATACTTACACATCAAGAGAATAATTACTTCTAAAGTTTTTTCTCAAGCCTTTTTTCCCAATAGATTTTGGTTTTGACAAAGTATCAGAGTTATAAATTTACAGTGTTTTACTGGTTTAATCCCACCGTTCAAAACTTCCTCTAATTTTAGTGCTCTTTTAATCTCAAACCTTATTTTTTTTATATATATTTTCAAAAAACAAAATACATAAATAAATTGGAGATTAAATCATTTTAATTTTCAAAATAAAAAAAAATTACATTTCATATAATTATATATTAATATGAGTTTGGTATCAGTTATAAGAACCAAGGGGAATGTAATGTCTGGTTTTATATGCAAATATGAAATATATACACTTTTTGTGGAAGTATAAAAATGATAAAATTGCCCTTACTATCGAATACTGTTTCTAGAGATTCGATATTTCGAAAATGCTTTCTAGAACACATAAACAATGTTTAGAAACCATATTTAGAATTCTAGATTTCTACAAACTGTTTAAGAGTAATTGTTTCATTGCATAAGGCAAGCGAAAAATGTTATATTGCTCCACTTGTGTTGTCAACTTAGTTGTACACTAGATTAATAATGTAGAATTTTCCAAGGCTCTTACCCGTGCATAAGAATGAAATAATTTTTTCTTTCAATAATATAGTAAAGGAAAAAAAAAACAAATAGTTTTTATTGGAAGTCCGGTGTTCGAAACTGTTACGCAACAAAATCTATAATTATTCAAACAATCCGTGACAATAATTTTAATTAAGTATATCTTGTTAACGACCTACAAAAATTTCGTTAATATCATACCAAATTTTTAAATTTATTTATTTTTATTAATTTTTGTTACAATAATTTAATGAAAATAGCTATTTTCACACCGGAATAATAACATATGGAGTTTATTCCACTTCACCAGCTCAAAACTTATGATTTACACGATTACACTCCCACTTAGTACGTTAACATAATGCAATTCCAGTCAGTCATATAGTGTGATTTTGTTGTGTGATCACATTGTGTGATCATGTGGTGATGTGAACATAGCTCGATCGAAATGTTAATCATGCATGCTTCTTAAAAGTACAAATAATTATTTTTTTAACTCATACATTAACGATGAATTTTGAATCATGCATGTTTCTTAAAAGTACAAATAACTATTTGTCCACCTCAATTAAAACCTCATACATGACAATTTTTTTTAACTCGCATCAACGATGAATTTTGAATTGAATTTTAAAATTGATTTAGGGCTTCTGAACTCCTGTCGAACAAAATGAAGTAGGTTTATCAATTTCTGACAATTAATTTGTCAGCAATAGGGGGAAAAAATCCCTTAATCTAATTTCTAGAGAATTATGGGGGAGTGATGAGTAGGCCAGCTTGGGATTCTTATCAACATACAAAGGGAGGAGACAGTGATTGGAAAACAGAATCAAAACTTCTAATCTCATGCATTCTGATCCCATTCAGATGTGACTACTCTGCATACACCTTCTTTCACAAACAGACAATTGAAATATGTATAAGAACACATAGATAAGAAATTAAATAATGTTATTTTATTTATGTTGAGCTATTAGTATGTAGAAGTTTATTTTGAGTTCACAATTTTTGAAGTCATGACAATATAATCACTATATATGTATAACAAAATCACATTTAATTGTATAGTTCTACATCATTTACTATGTACAACTAAATTCTCCAAACATACCATAAAGGGTGGGTACCCACATGACAAAATATTACACTTTTCTTCTGTTCGAAAATTGGTTGAAATTTGCATTAAAAAATGGTTGAAATAATTATGTAATAATGCATTTTTATTCGTAAAAAAATAATAATGAAGCCTGTAAAACAGCTCTGCTTTCTCAAGCTCAGCAGGGGTGGCAGAGGAATATAAAAAGAGAATCTAATCTCTTCACCAACACTTCATTCATCTTCTTTTTTTCGCAAGTTTTTTTTGATGGATTTTGTTGCAGAAAAAAATAAATAAAAAAATAAAATAAAATAAAGTGGGGAATGGAACGAAGGACAAATAACCAAGACATGGATTTGACATCGACCATTTTTATCATCTGTCATTTATCATGGGAGCAAATTAATTTCTTTTTTTTCTTTTTCTAGGTTATCTTTTTTGAGTTGTGGACAAAATCGATACTCCTCTTATAGTTATGTGCACTAAGAAATATATTCTCCTCCCACCAAAATCCCACTCATGATTACTACACTAGCACAAACCTTTTGGTCTTTCCTCAATCAAATACATCATGGCAGACGGTTAGACAGATTTGCTCGTCGTACATTTAAAAAAAATTGCATATTGTTATGTAAGATCGACCATCATATATTTTTAATAAAAATTACATACTAATATCACGCTATGAAATATAATATTTTTGTTTATTATATTTATAATATGAAACATAATAGTTGTTATCAAGTTTTGAAACAATGTTATAGAAAACAAAAATAAAAATAAAGAATTATATATATATATATATATATATATATATATATATTCTAACGNGGTTTGTAAGTTGCACAAGTTGGAATTCGATATATAGCCTTTTAAATTAAATGGATTATGGATATTTAAATTTTAAAACTCAGAAGTTGAAAATTCTGATATCCAAAAAACTATCTAAATGATTAATTCAAATCTTCATTAAACAGTTGGGTACATGAAAAAAATATCTTCCTTTGCAAGATGTGAACCTTCTTATTTACACGAGGATTGTTTGATTAATTTGTAAATTAATCCGTGTCCAAATCAGGCAAATTAGCATATATTCCAAACTACGTCTTTATTTCCTCTTTTGGTATTTTTCTCCTAACATTAGAATATAATTTAAGCTGGCAAAATGTGGATGTAAAAGATCGACAAAAGCCGTTGTAAATGATGTTGCTAGCTAGATAATGTGACACTTTGTGGCATGAGAATGTGGCAAATGCTAATTAAAAGATAGTGCGTTTAATAGGGACACACTTTTTTTACTGCCCACCTGATAATTGATTCGGGCCCGCTCATTGGGTTAATCATAAAAACTAGATGTATTAAACATGTGCGTTAATTAATTAATAAATTTATGTATGAAAAAGTAAAATTAAAAAAAAAAATAAAAAAATGATGTATGCCTCTGGTATGATTGGCTCGTCTTAGGTTATAATGATTTTCATAACTCATATCATATGATAGAGCTAATTGTACATTAATTAGGTTTGACGTATGAATTTATTTTAGTTCATTGATGATAACTTTACTATTTATCCGATTAGGGTTAATTGTTTATAATCGACGATGTAATTATCTTTAAAAATTAATGTCAAATTAAAAATCATCAAAGAGTAATACTTTATATATATGCATTGTAAATCGATAAATTTATTAGAAAATAATTAATTCAATATATTATATTTTGAAAAACTGATTAAAATACAAATATTTAAATATTTTATAATTTTAAAAGTCCTCATAGACTGAGTAACAAAAAAATTTATACATAGAATTATGAAATACCAAATTGAGAGATAATTAAGAATTATAGGCTCGAAAAACTCAGCGGAGGATTGTTCTGAATTAGCATGTGATTGTGATGATTTGGAAATATCTCGGCACAAGTTGAGCTATCATGTTACAGTTAGATTGCTTCAGACAAAATATCTATATAAAAAATCTGCAAATTTCCATGTCAAAGGAACTGACCATTTTATTGGCAGTCACAATTAGATAATTTTAGCGATGATATATTAGAGATTGAGCAGAGAGGGAGCTAGATAGAGAGATTTTTCTACTCATGCTCACGATTTTGACTTTTTATATTAGTCCACTTGGACAACTGTAGAAGATAGCTCCTTGAAACAGATTTTGTCTCTTTTACATTTTTCAACATAGTTCTTTTGATTACTAAAATGGAAAAGTAAACGAAAAATGGAACAATAAATCCAAATAAACTTATAGGAAATTGGGCTATAAAGTTGAAATTATTAAATTAGTTTGGTAGTTCTCGTTGTACAAGTATTTGTAAAAAAATATCATACTCCACTAGACCACATATCCAAATAGAATATGAAGTTAGTATCATTAGTGTACACACAAATAGGATATAACATCAAGGAATTATGTTGATGTGTGNNNNATAAATAAGTGAATTTGTTTCATCTCTTTATGTGTGTGTGCAATGCCAAGGGGACCAAACCTTGTGCACTTGCCAACTATATATACACATTTTACTTAACCAAATCCTCAAAGCATTTCTCATCATCTCTAAAACCAAAGCCTTTTGCCAAAACTTCATATTTTCTCTCCCAATATTGCTTTTGCAGAGAAAAAAAATCAAACATGCAGAGACAACTAGCTAAGATGAGGCAATCGCTTTTTGATCAGGTATAATTGTAATTACTTTGTTTAAGGGGGGCAAAAACACCATATTCACAAAACTCCTCTGTAGTTGTGAAATAATATATGTATGCATATGGCTAAGAACTTGAAAACAAAAAAAAATGGAAAAGCCACCATATGTTTGTGTGTATATATATATATATATATATATTAAGGTTGCCCAATTGCATGCAAATGGATAAATGAGTTGAAACTCCATATAAGAATGTTGTGAACAGATAAATCAGCTATATACATGGCCATGTACAAGGAATATATATAAAAATGTTCAGATTGGAGCCTATTGAGCTAATTGAATTTCACTGAAAAAAAAAAAAAATAGAAGGAAACCAGAAGGAAGAAAAACAAATATCCATTTGTTTTTGCAAGCAGAGCCTTACAGTTAGTTAATTTACTTACATAGGACTTACTCAGTTGCATTTTTTGCAATTAAATCTTGTGCAGGGATATTTGGACGAACAATTTCATCAGCTAGAAGAGCTTCAAGACGATGCGAATCCCAATTTTGTAGAAGAAATTGTTACACTATATTACCGGGATTCAGCTCGACTAATCCAGAATATAGAACAAGCCTTGTGAGATAATCTTAATTCAACAAAACCACTTCATTCATATGATTACTAGCAACTTCTTTTCTTAATATAATATGTTGCACATATACATATATTCTTTATCTGCTACATCTATATCAAAATTTTATCAAAGCATGTGCCTTTTTTTTCAAAGGGATAAAAATCCTGTTGACTTTGCAAAGCTGGATGGACTTATGCACCAGTTCAAGGGCAGCAGCTCAAGGTATTTAAGGAAAATGAGTAAATTAAAAATGTGATGAATACATGGATTAAAATATGTTTAGGTTTTGATTAAAATATAATTATTTCAAAAATGATACGTAATTGTTGCAGCATTGGAGCCCGAAAGGTTAAAACTGAGTCCACACAGTTCAGAGAACACTGCAGAACTGGAGATGGTGAAGAGTAATTAATTTGTCTTAATCCTGCTATATTTATATGCTACAATATTTAATCACAACTCTCAATTTACACCAAGATTCACTATTTTTTTTTAATTATATTAAATATTTAATCCTTCCCCTTTCTGCAGATGCAAGAAAACTTTCCAACAAGTTAAGAAGGAATATGCTGCTCTGAAAAAGAAACTGGAAACTTATTTTCAGGTCCCCTTTTAAGCTTTTATCTCTTTTATTAAAATATTCTCTTACACACAAGTGTGTGTGTGTGTGTGTGTGTGTGTAATTAGTAGTGAAACAACAACTAACATTTGATTATCTCCATATTTATTTTGCAGTATGCAAGACAAGCTGGGCCTGTTGAGAAGGCATGTCGCCCAAAGTAACGCTTAGTGATGAAATATATAGGCATTTTCCTGGTTTTGTTAGAAATGTGAGGGTGGTTTTTGCTGCACACTTGTGCTTTTGTGCTTATGCATATGTAATATTAACCAAATTTCAATATATCCTTTAATAAATTTCATATCGAAAAAAATTAGTTAAAGGGAAGAGTAATATTACACTTCTAGCAGATAAAATAAATATATTAAAGGGAAGAGTAATATATTAGGTCCGGAACAGAGTCGTTTTTNGATTGCTTGTCAGCAAATTCGAACAAAAACAATTTGATACTTACAGACATTATTGAATATCAGACAAGCTTAAGCTTCGGATGCTTGTACCTTGTCATTCTCAGACGGGGAATCTTGGATTCCTTCGCTATCTGACGGCTGAGATTCGTGCTTAGCAGCTGCTTGCAGCACTCGGCTCCGGACATCTGAGGAAGAAGGTGAAGTGGGCAGCCCATTAAGGTTTGGGTCCAATTTGCCAGCGGCCCATGAAATGGCCTGGCCACCAAGCCTCACTGGAGCTAGCAGCAGACTTAAAGAATAATGCAAAAAGATTAATTAATTAATCAATATTTAAC